AAGAATCATTTGCATTGCGTTTAAGAAGCATATCGCAAAGACAGAGTCGCCTCGTTAACTAACGTTCCCCAAAGTAACGCATCAAGCTTCTTATGGCACCCAAGATGCCGCAGGCGGTTTTTGACGCACATATGTGACTTATCTAGCTTTTTTACAATGTACTTAGTCAAACTATGCCGATCATAATCAATGAGGGCCTTTATTTGCTCATCTTTAACCTCCAATTGGCGCCCGGAGCACTCCTCATTTTGCAAAGAAAAATCTCCAGAACGGAATTTCGCAAACCAGTTTTGACACTGCCGTTCTATTAAGGCTTCATTCCCCTACACGACCCACAACTTTTTATTGGCCTGGGAAGCATTAACACTCTTTCAAAAATAAAAAAGTAAAATGTGGAGGAAATGCTCGCTCTGGCTCCCCATGTTTAATTATCTTTTGCTCGCGTACTATTTAAGAGTTCAATGAAATTTTGATACCGAATGTTACAGAAGGAACCAAGTAATAACATATCAAAAGTTCATGTCTGTACAAAAACGTAAACGTACTCAAAAAAAATAACAAACTATCTGTTGGTAAAATCCGCAGTTACTTATTTGCCAACCCAATAAATATTTCCAAATAAATTTTTTTTTTTTTTGGGGGGTTTTGTTTTCGAATGGATATCATTAAATCTTTCAATACAGTAGAAAAATCAAAAAAAAAAAAAAAAAACTTACGACCCAGCATAAATGTCATATTTCGAGTACCTTATAATTATTATTATTATTATTATTCTTTCCCATTTTTCAAAACGAATAAATAATTTTAAATTTTTTTCGGAAGTGAAAAAAAAAAAAAAAAGAAAAAAGTAAACAGTAATAAACTTACTTTTTAAATGATTGAAAACGTAACGTGTAAACGTCTCAAACGGGTGATATTAGTTATTAATAATATTTTTACTTCTTTGTGTAATCGATTTTAAAACAAAGATTTTCATCCCGGTTGTTTAACACTCGTCTACACTTTTGTATTAAACAAAAAGAAAAAAAAAAAAAAATTTCAAAGTAATCATTAATAATAAAATAATTAAATGTAGTTGAAAAAAAAAATATATATATATATATGAACTATGTATTTAAAATTCTTACTTCGACCCTGTGCGTGTGCGATTGAAAACTAGATTTGATTAAATGTGTATTGAAATTAAATGAGTTTTGAAATCATCTTACTTAGTATATAAACATTGTCAATTTTAAAAT